CATCAAAATAAAATATCTCGAGGACCTTTCCTACCCATAAAGTCGATTTTCTATTCAATCCCGCGTTCCCTTAGTTGTGTGATCTAAATGAACCAAGAAAAAAGCTTGGTACAGGCCGATTTTCAGTTTGCGGACAACCAGGGGACTCCCCGCTCATTTGAAAAGTGGCGCGTCAATTTGTATATTTTGCTGAGCGCGCCACTAAAATTGGCGGGAACCAATGGGAGTGAAGTTTCGACTTGTTTACATTCGTGTTATTTTGATAACAAGTTGTGAACAAACGTGGTGTTTCATCTTCTCAAGAGTGTTGTGAAGAAGTCCTTTGAATATTTAAAGTTGTTCGAAGTTCTTAATATTTTGTACAAGTGCCAAGGAGTTTTGATTTTCGTATATAAACCTCATCTCTCCGAAGAATATTCAATTCGATGCTCCCTCGTTCAATCACCAACGCCTGAAGGTGTGCTCTCAAAGTATGTGTAAGTTCTCACTAAGGTTGTTTCTCCTATTTGCAGTTTCACTAGCACTGTACTGTGCGAAATTATTGAGGCATTCAAATTACAGGAAGCTTTAAACCTTTCATTTTGGTTAGTTCATAAATTTACTGCTTTATCCCAAGGGATTCACTTGTAACGCATGTTGTGGTCTACCAACCTACATACTCCAAATGTCTCTAAGTGTCTGCGTCTCTCCAGTTTATTCATACTCTGAGTCACCTTCAGGAGGGTTTTTATAACTGAGAGGTTACTTAAACACTTCTTGCCTAGAAATAAGATAATGCGAAGCCTCGGTCAAGCTCAGAGTCTAATCTAAGTATTGAGTTGCGTCATTAGGGGTCGGCTGAAGTTTCATTTTTCCACGATGATCATGCCTCAACAATGGTTGATTTCATGCCTCAGGTGTTGAAGATTCATGTGTTTATTAACAGGATGGAATAAATTCTCATGAAAGCCTAGCCACTTTCTGTTAGAGAAGAAAAACAGAGGAGTTGATCTGACGACAGATTGGCAGAAAAGACTAAATGCATTACCTAAAGCTGCTATGAACATCCACATAAAAGGTCAAAATTGTAAAGTATTCGACCTTTTTTGAGTTAAAGTCATTTATCTCTCTCTGCTCACTGCACTACATTTAAAAGTGAATTTTCACCAGTAAAACTTACTAGGTACAGAGATGCATGATAGGTATAAAAAACGATAGCCACTTTATAGAATTATTTAACTGCATCACTCAAAAGGGAATTACTATATCTAGCTAGTTTTAGAAATGACACATCTACCTGTACCATTCGTCTGTTTATGGAGATAGGTGCTTTTATTTGGTTGCGTAGAAAATAATTTTATAGGGGGGAATTGTGTTCGATGCTGTATTTTACCAAACTTCTCGAGAGACAACTATTAGCTTTGAACGTCCTGGTTGGCTCTTTTCAAACTTCCTCTTTCCTCTCTCTTTAGATTCTTTTTCTTCTTGTTTTTCTCTTCTGCTGTGTGTTATTTATCTTTTATTACTTCCCCTCATAAATGTTCATAAAATTAAATTCATTGGCTGCCTCAAAAATAATGTAAAAATCAAACCAAAAAAAAAAAAAACCCTGAAAAAAGACATTAAGGTGATTCGACGGTTGCCATTTTTTGTGTCAGAGCGACCTGCGATATATCGCATCAATTCGTTTCATAATTTCAGCTACTTGTCATTTTCTTCGAATTTTGAGATCGCACCTCTGTTGTCATGAGACTAAAAAATTCAAATTTGGCAAAGAAATTCAATGTATTAAAAGCAGGGTTTTTTCAGAGGAAAAATATCGCGAAACTATTTTAAGGGAATTATCAATGATGTAATGTTGCCTCGATGCCTCAAAGGTATAACGAAGAAAAAGAGATTACCAAATTAATCGATTGATAAGGTCGGGAAAAATGCATAAAGATAAGACACTTGATAACACTGACAAAAATCGTGGCTAAATTTCAAAATAAACCCTATAACCGGTTGACAATCGTATGCTCGTCAGAGCTCCAGTGAAAATAGAGACACGCCCTTTCCCAGCAGATCAATGATCCGGCGCATTTGATACCATGGTCTCTGAAAATTTCGCAAGTTCACCACGTCTGCCACCCGAGTCGGTCCAGATAGGGCAACTCGCGTAGATTCTAAAGGAGGACAGCTAGGGGGGCAATCTATCCACTATGGGGGACCAGTTTTCAGACGTGCATTTAATCCTCAACCTCATGACTGTAATTTGCGACTAGGCCGGGGCTGCGTTGCGAAACTCCTCCTCTCGAGGGTGATGAACCGCTAACAATCTGCCCGCGATACACGGTCACAACGCCCCGAATTCTGAATATTGTTTTTTTTCTGATAGGAAACACAGGGGAAATTATCCGCACTCTGATGGAGGCACGGGAAATTGGAGTAGGTATATTTTGCAATGAGGAACCACTACCGTTATTTCTAGCATAATTGGACCGCAATTAACAGAAAGGAACCACCCTGGGGGGAAAACAAACACATTGGAGCTTGAGTCCAGACTCTTAAAAACATGGACAAGAAAAAGTACTCTTGATTCAATCAGAATCTAGCTTAAATCAAGAACCAAACCTCTTAATTTAAGCGGATTTCCTTTTGATTCAAGCAAAAATCCGATTGAATCAAGAGTATTTTTTCTTGTCAATGTTTTCAAGAGTCTGGACTCTAGACCTAATGTGTTTTTTTCCAGTGCAAGCCACGTAAGCTGTCGCCGAATTTAATTGGGCAATTGAATTTTATACATGAAAACGGTTGTGCGGATTTTTGTGCAAAGGAGGGGTATCAATGAAGGACGTTTTTGGGCCCACCTTAGCTGAATTTTTTCAGTTCTACGATTTTTTGTTTATCGAGTGTCTATATTTTACGGAATGCGTGATAAATTGGTCATTATTGGTCTCTTCTCAGATCTACTAATGGGCTTAGCATGGGTTTGAAGGCTGATTTTGGCAAAAAATGCAGGTTTTGCGGATCTGCGGTACAATTCCGAGAAATCCGTATTTTTCGCCAAACTCTGCCTTCAGACCCATGTTAAGGCGATTATTAGATTTAAATAGAGAACGACGATGAACAAATCATGATGCATTCCGTGAAGTATAGACTTTTGATGAGAAAAAATTGTTGAGTTGAGAATCCTAGCTGGGCCCAAAAACGGCCTTCATCACTACCTCTCCTTTCATTGAGTTTTCTCCACAGTACGAAGCAAATTCCTTAAATTTTCAAAGAAATCCGCACAAACGTTCTCTCGTCAACCAATGCACACGCATAAAAACTAGAGCGCCTTCATTTCGTAGCTAGGCAGCACGCACACCCTACGAGCACGTATAGTTGTATCAAGGCGCTTCTAAGGTAGGCTTCGTCCTCACGGGACGTTTTCATGAGATTCATCGCAAGGAAAAGTCTCACCGAAGTTGGGATGAATCTTGATTGACTCAACTTTAATCTCAGTACTAAATGGGATTTGTGTGGCGATCCAAGACCAATTGAGACAGGAAACAGAAGTGGAAGCAAATAGTGTGATATGTTGTTGTCCACTCGATTCTTCGTGTTTGTTTCATTGAAATAATGCGTTTAATTGTTAATTATGTTCAATTATCATCTCAATCCCGGTTAAATACTCGATTTTTACTAAGTTATCTTCTTGCGCAAACTTGTCGCGGAACGTGAGAGCTCCGTCCTGTGGAGACGGTAACTGTACAGTCTGCTGTGATAAAGTAATAAGAATTTGAAATTTTGCGGGAAATTTCATGCAATTTTCCCTCGAAATTTCTATGAATCATCAAAAATTGAAAATGGCTATTTTTCATGAAATTCATGAAACCTGTGGAAACTTCATTGCAATTTACAGTGCAATTTAAACTTCGATCTCAGGTGCAAGTAATCTAGTTGGCCAAAGACTACACCAGGTTTACTTACATGGTTGCTTTCTTATAATCTCAAATGACTCACAGTTGCATCAACTGGCCGATTATTGAAATTGATCGACAAATCCATAGACAAAAAAGACGGAAAGATATGGAGGAGGATCCTATTAGGGAAGTGGGTGGTTGTATTGGACAAAGGGTGTAGGTAACAGACTAATTAACGGCAATCCACGAGAGATCCTATAGTTAGTCCATCATCTACTTCCTTAGTCAATAGGGTTTAATCATTTCAACACGGAGAAAAAAACCTCGTGCGTGGGACCCGAAGTTTAGATCATATGGATCTCTGAAGTTTTCGGATTGAGCATCTGAACACTTTAGGTCTAGCTGTCGAGGGTCGGATCACATACATCTGAAACTTCAGTTCTTACATCTGAAGTACTTCAGTTGTAAGAACCGAAGTTTTTCGGATGTGAGAACCGAAGTTTTTCGGTTGTGAAAACCGAAGTACTTCAGATGTAAGAACTGAAGTTTCAGATGTGTGATCCAAACCTCAGCAGCTGGATCTAAGTGCTCAGATGCTCAATCCGAAAACTTCAGAGATCCATATGACCTGAACTTCGGGTCCCACGCACGAAGTTTTTTTCTCCGTGAACCAATAGGATTGCTCCATAAGCTCAATGTCTTCTTTGTCCATGTCCATCGCTTTGTTTATCAATTTCAATAATCAGTCCGCAGAGACGACGCGACGACGAACCGTCATATTTGCGACAGCGTCTTTGACATTTTCGGGCGGCCGAAAGGACGGCATGGTCACTCGGCGTCCACGCTCAGCGCCACCGCAATGTCTCCGGCTCGGCTCGGCGGCACGTTAACCTCACTCCTCGCATACTGCCCCGCCGCCGGACGGCTCGCTGAAACCGCCTATCTCTACCCATCGGGCACTGGGCGTTGCGCGGTTCTTCGACGCGGGAGCTCGAGAGTTGGCACGGCAATTACGACCGCCGCGGACCGCACCAGCTTTTGACGCAACCGTCCGCGAAAATCGGTGGGGCGTGGAGGGGACCCGGGCGCCCCGCTCGGGGGGGGGGGGTCGTTGTCGGTCGGTTTCGTCGGGAATCCGAGTCGTAAAGTCAGTTGACCAACTCGTGTTGTCCCGGCGGTCGGCCTGGATTTCTCCTGCCGCTCACAAGTCGCTTTTTCTTCGCGTCGGATTCGTGTCGTTTTCGCTGAGTGCTTGTTGTGATTGTGATACGTCCTTCTACCCGCTCGACGTACGTTGACTCTGTAAGTCCTCGTTCACTACTCTGGCCGTGCTAAGGAAGAACGCCGTATGAACATTCGCGAGTTGCCGAATTTCCTTCGATAAAATGTTTATCTTTGAGAAAAATTATGAATTTTTTCCCTTGAAATTTTCAGACGTTTTAGATCCATTGGCGGATCCAGCAAATTGGCAACATTGCCTTTTCTCCATTTAAACCTATGGAAATGTATCGATTCTTAAAGGGGGCAGGTGCTCCGACAAGAATCGGTTATTTAACATAGGTTTAAATGGAGGAAATCCGGTGTTGCCAAATGGCTGGATCCGCCTCTGTTTAGATCCAATTACAAACAAAATTATCTGAGAAATTGGTAGACAAACAATCAAAACATTTCCTGAAAATTAGTGATTTGCCAGGGGAAATTTGGCAACGCCTGGAGGCTCATACGGCGTTTTTCCTCAGAACGGCAGTACTATCAAGCTGCGTTCGGCGAAAAATAACCAAGACCCCTCGTAAGGGTTACGCTAGACTGATGCCTCGGTGGAGTCGAAAATTGTGTGCCCGGTGTCAGGTGGAGATAAGAAAACAATCCCCAAAATAGCCCAAATTTTAAACATGAAAAAGAAGGGTGGCTACGAGGTGAAATAAAGAAAATAATGCTTGGGGTGTGTCGGGTGGTTTCAACCCTCAAGTCAACCAGGGAAAGTATGGAATAATATATTAATGTACAAAATTAAAAAATTACCTAAATATTAACCAGTTACGCAGTAATTAATTTAAAATGAATTCAGAATTATTTGATCAATCAATCAGTTTCTTAATCGATTTAATAATCAGCAAAAAAACAAATCTGGACCCCAGCTATCGGTGAAAGCCGATAGGATAGGTTTCTTAGAAATCCTTGGATAACCTATTCTCTCATCTGTTATTACACATCTCGAATGAAGGTTTTGGTTTTTTGCTCATTTTATTTTATTATTCTTTATGTTTTCCATGTTGACAGTGGGGTGTGGGGTTGAAACTGCCTCAAAATGACATATTTTTAGTCTTTACTCGATTTGTTCGTCAGTCCATTCGTTCATCTGCTCGTTCGTTAGTTTGGTTGCTCGTTTCGCCAAACATTACAAAAAGGATATAAAAATTGGCCGTATTTCCTACACCCATGGCAGTTTATTGATAGCATTATGCCATCATAATATTTTTATGGCATAATATTCCATGATTAAGACATCTACAGAATATGTTTAAATAACATCAATTATTAAAATGGGTCTTAACGACATCCTTATTATATTCTACCCACGATAAACCGATACAAATAAAATAAGAAGTATAAAAACACGATGGGTAAACACAAATTTAAAACAAAATATCAAATACCCTGGACATTTTGAGGTGGTCACAATCACAACCATTTTTTCGACGAAGAGGTTAAAATGAACTAAAGGTAACCAAGAAAAAAATCGAGCAACTTACTGTATGTGGAAATAATGAATGGATTATACGATCGGTTTTCTTGTCAGGGAAGGAGATCTGACCTCCCTAACAAGTTTTCGGCCAATATAAAGTGATAAAATGAACCGCATAATAGGTAATCGACTTCACCAAAAGTGTCAGCCTGGCGAAGGAAGTCTAATTCGCCTTTACCAGGGAAGCCATAGCTTCCTGATCAAAAATAATTCGTCTGCTCATTGTCATGTTACAAACCAAATTTTTCAAAACGCGATATCTCTGTTAATACTGAACGCAGAGAGTCCCTGTTTGGACTGATAATATCATTTTTAGCTCATCCAGAAGAATCGAGCATCAAAACACGATTCTGTGACCAGCGCAACAGACCCATTGACTTTGAACATTATGAAAATTTCCCCTGGAAAAGCAAGGAACATATCTTTTTTTCTCCCTATGTTTGAGATTAAAGAAAGGAAGATAATAACTTGGTTCTTTTTTGCCGAATACGCAGCTTCTTGGGGAAAGTAATATATCAAAGCATGGTAGTCGTATAAGTTGAACATGATTTGCCTATAAAAACTCTGCCATCCCTTGCGGTTGGAGACATTGTACATGTTGTTCACCCACGAAGAACTTTCTTGCCTTCGCTTTATGAAGTTTTCATTGCGGAGCAGCTCTTTCAGATTTTATTTCCAAAGGAATACGTGTTTTCTAGGCATTAGCTTGCCTGAGACAGGCAGTCGCTTAATCTCGCGCCCAACAATATCGCTCCGTGACGTCACCACTAAATGCGCCTATTGGCTCAGAGCCTTGCAGAGATGAATGGAGACCCTTCATTAGTTTTCTGACAGTGGTGGAAACTTGTGTTTTTGGGGTTTAATTATCGATGCTACCTCAGAGGTATCATCCCCTCTTACTGACTGTCGAGCTTCAGGTTAGGCCGTGCGCCAAAAACGTTTACCAAACATCGGCTCGTCTGCTAAACAAATCCCTCAATAGGTTGATCAACGTAATTCCAAAGTCAAGTCCTGATACTGTAGCAAAACTAATGTTTAAGAGTTTCGAGCTCCGTGTGTCTGCAAGCGCGTGTCGTGTGATTTAAAGGGATGGTAACTTGCTTTAAAGTTTCTACAGTTTAAACAGGACCTAGTTCGTAGATAAGAATTTAACTCTTCAATATGTTGGTATACGATCCTGCAAGAGACTAATCAAATTCGTCTTTGAGCAAACCCGAATTTTATGAGATTTATTTTACCCAAATCTCCACTTCAAAAAATTTATCAGCTACACCACCGAACTGAAATTTCGGCAATGAAACTCTTTGGGTCGTGTGCAAGGGCCTGTTCCTCACTTTTCGTGCAATTCTGTGAGAATAGACATTGATTGGCTGCTGAGGTTGAGCCAGAACGCTTTGAATTGGTCATTTCTCCGAAACCGATCACATTCATGCCGCATTCCGCGAAGAGAAACTAACCTTTAATCAATTAAGCATCGAAGAAAAGAAGTTCAAGGTTTTTTGTGTATCGCTCTGGTGAGCAAAGGCCATAACTGGGCTTTCAGATAACCCCTATCGTCCATATAAACCCACGCTTCTTAGGGCTCTGAATTTAAAGTTACGCCCTCTAGACAGTCATGGTGGCACTATGTGACATTTCATCAAATACTTGTTTTTGCTGGTGTTAGTTTTTGTTAGATGATTCATCATATCAAATCCTGCTAATGATCGATAATGTCGTCTCAAACATATAATTTAATTGTAAATATCGATGGCCTAACCAGCCACGCATCTCGGTTTACAATGTTGCAGATTGCAAGTCATTTCTTTAAATTTTAAGGCGGTCTGATCATCGTATTTGCACCAAATTTTAAGTGGTTCTTCTACGCCCTCTCAAGAAAATTCTACTGAGGGCCCTGCCCAAAAATGTCAAGACGCATTTTTTAGAAACATAAAACATGAGCAGATACTTTTAAACATCGCAAGCTAATTTAATGGTGCGGATATTTCATCGATATGCATTATGTTGCGTCGTAAGTGTAAGAATCTGGGTACATTAAAAAAGGGATAGTCAATTGGACTGCATTTTGCAATTTGGAACTATAAATTCTGGCTCTCCTAGAAAAACACTTATGTGCATAGGGAAACTAATGGCATATACGTTGTTTTTAAACCGGTCTAGAATTTATAGTTCCAAATTGCAAAATGTAGTCCAATTGTTTCTAGTGTAATGAGTAATTTTTAAACGCTTTAAGAAAAAAAATTATCAGATTTTATTCGCATTAAATCCTTATAAGTTGATATCAAATTATCACTCTAAATGAAGCTAAAATGAGCGGGACTTCCTTTGGCATAATCACGCAAGCATATCACAAAACACGATCATACCGCTTGAATGTAGGAAAATAAATGAATCGAGGCCAATTATTCTTGACTGGTGCATTTTTCTTCCCCGATTAAAAAAAAAAAACCAACTTTTTGTGACAACAAGACTAGAGAATTCTTGACAGCCTTTAAGAATTTTTCTAATGATACATATTCACCGTATTTCACGATCGAGCGGATCTAGAATACTTTAAACTTTTCAGCGACGATGCAATTTTGGCGAGCATGCCTCATGCTCTGCCCTTTTTTTGCCGTCAATCTTATAATGTTACTGAAAATTCTTTCTGTTATCCTCGTAGTATAATTAGTAGCCACATTAAGTAAAACTAATAATTTTGACTTTATTTAAATCAACTTTTTTTCCTTCTTACAAATCTGCGGGTGGGGTTTTATGAAAAAACGAACAATAAGATTCGCGAGTTCAAGAACTCTCATATGTCACCCCGCCGGTACGTTTCACGCATCGCCTCACATTAAGTAATATCTCGATATTACACAATTTCGGTTTTCCTTTCTACCCATCATTACTGGAAAGTAATTTTCTACTTTTTCCTTGTTATCGCAGACGGTCAGGCTTATTTTTATTATTACTTGCCGATCGATTTGAAGAGGGTGTGGTTCAGTGCACTGTACCTATTCAATTAAAAACATCAATCAAAAGAATATGTAAAAGAGTAGGCGAGTAAAAAAAGCTGCGCTCTATAAATAAGAACACGAAAAAAAAAAAATTGGAGACGTTCGTGCTCTAAGTTTGCAATCGAGAAACTTTGCAAGGCCTTTGTCGTAAATTCTATAGTGAAACTTTGTTAATTTACTCAATACTTTTTCCTTGCTCAAAGGGACGAAAAAATTGTGCTAAATGTTCAATGTTCGTAATGTTTGGGCCTTACGTTTTGACAGAGCCTTACTTTTTCCTCTGGCAATTTCAAATACCACGAATTTACCCGGGCGCTGTAAATCGATTCGAAGACCCGGATCAAACAGTTTACACCAGGGAGAGGGTGGGAGGGGGGTATGGAATACCCCTAGGAAGTCAGAGTCCGGGGGGGGGGTACTCCAGATTAATTTTTTAAAAATTTTAACCGCATGACGTATTTTTTTTTCCAACAAATACGTGAAAAAGTAGGGCGTCCAGAAACCTGAAAAGTCGAGAATCATTGGGGAATTTTCCAGCATCAGGGAAAACCTAGACA